GCTGCAAAGAGTGTTTTTTTACGAGACCTACTTTCGAGTGCAAAGTTTCTTCCTCAGAATTTTTTTAATCAATGGCTTGTAGTTTTTCTAGTAGTAGAGTCCTCACCGCATAAAAATTTACACGGCAATATGTGTATATAATATCCAATATAAAATCCAGTGTAAAATATCCAAGACCGAATATTTTGGGGTGCTTAATTTTTTTTTGATTTTCCATGGCTTGCTACAGCTCGCCTGCTAAAAGCCCTGATCTCAAAAAGCCTGAGATCTTAAAAAGTACAAGGGCATCTCAAATACAAAACAAAGTGTTGCGGAATATCACACTGTTCTAAAATAGCTTCATCTTGAAATATCCGGTCAATATTTGGCCCGGCCCAAATTTGCCCACATATCGTCTTATTTTAGAGTTCGATTAACGGGTTCTGAAACGAACCCGTTTCGTTTCTATATCACGTGTCCTTACAGTCAACACCTAAAGTGTCAGGGCAAAGAGCAAACGACAAAATGTCCTTTCGTACCTTGTTACTACAGCATTTTTGCTAGATTGAATAATGTATTGAATTTATCTGTATCCAAACATGAATGGTTTGTCCGCTTAGCCTATTGATTCTAGCTTTCGCCTAGTAGGTTGACGTCGGGATAAGTTAATTATTAAGCTACCTAACTATAGGTGTTCAAAAGAAAGGATAAAACTAATAGGTCGTTCACTAGCTGCGTTTAAACGAAAACATGATCCTTCAATAGAGTTGTTTGCATGTACGGTAAAGGACATCATTACTGGTATGCAACTGGAATTTGTTGCAATCACGACCTTAATTCCGAGCCTAAAAGTAACACAAGTCATATTTAAAAATAATTTCGCGGAACTCGTGAGTAACTTCTTGAAGTAAGCCAAAGTGAAACAATACTGGTGCGCATAGACTTGTTGAAGTTCTGCTCAAAAATGCTCTATGTAAAAAAAGCTGCGTACTTAATTTTTCAGCTGATAGGGCCGAAGAGAGCCCAAGGTACACACGAAGGAATATGCAAGTATAAAAGATCACAAGTATTTCTGTACCGAAGTATTGAAACCAGCCAAACAGTTTATTGCATCATTTGGATAAGTTAGCCCCTTCAATCTAATCCCAGTTGTGGATTTTTCGCTTAGCTTTATAAAGGCCTGCACGGGGTTACAATAATGTAGGCCATCGATTTCGAGAAACCAAGGAAGTTTATAATCTCGGTGAAATTTCGTCGAGCTCTAAGGTACTGGGCAATTGCTAATCTTCGCTCGTATCGACACGACTCTATATCTGGCGCGATGGGCTTGTCGTTTGGTTTTAAAAGAACTGGTTTACTTTTAATATCAAGAACAGCTGGTAGACAGATACTGAACACTCTGTATAAACTATTTATAATAATAGTGCAATTGTAATAATAATAATAATAATAATAAAACACTTAATTTAAAAAATCTGGCAAACTATTGAAGATTGCCCGTTAAAATAGAATGTCACGTCCTGATTGCAATACCTTCTTATGCAAAAACGATTTCTGCTTTTAAAGTATCGTTTTATTTTTTCTTGCAGTATAACAATATATTTCTGTTAAAAGGATACGATACTTTATTTGACTAAAAAATCGTATGCTCTAGACTGAATAGTTAACCTATGGTTTTGCAGTCTTCCTATTCAGGTTATGACCCTGCGGCAGAAGGGCAGAGGGACCATCTATGATAGGCAAGAAAGGTTCCTTATGGACTTTCTGTCGTTTTCTCCCAGCTTCTTTGATGCAGTCTATTAAGGCAGCGTAACAACGCACACGTACAAATCATGGACTACAGTCACGGAAAAGCCGAAAAAAATCTTCAAATCAGGCACCGGCCATCCATCACAGTTTGTTGTTTTCCCAGAACCATTAACGCTCTATGGCCCTAACACTGAGGCCCATGTTCAAAGTAAAGAAATAGAGCTGTATATCTATTGGATGGTGAACACAAAGGTAAGATAAATGAAAATAAGTATGCAGACATTCCAGTGCGCTACGGAAATGGAGGCAATTGCCTGTCTGCTTACCGATACGATCCTTGTCTTTCCGAGGTATACGTATCTTGTAGCACCCAGTAGGCAAGAAACGACCCTATCATCGGAATTATGCTTTTTATTCCTGCTCGTCTCGCGACGAAATTTAGAAGCTATGGAAATGTATACAATTCAGCTTGTACTGCTGATTGAATCAGATCGCGAGCTATAGTTAGGGTAACAAATGTTAGAACAAAAGATTAGAACCTGACCATTTTTTAACACATTAAAAAAGATTAGATGTTAACATCATATAATCCGTTTTGGCAAAATCAAGTAAGATCTTAGGTACGAGCCCGAAGTTCTTTTACTTTCAACCGACAGGTAGTCCCTTAGAAGAAGTGATATTACAAAAAATTGTTTAAAAAATAGCTGAATTTATAATGAAAATAACATAGTTATTTCGATATTTTTCTACAATTGCTCACTGACATCGTGCTCCAAAAAATAAAGCAGGCCAATGATAATTATACTATAACACTTCAATATTACTTTGCATGGTCTTCAAGATTTTAACGATTTTATGACGCACAGGTTTACATATACAACGTATAATTTCTAATTTTCTAATATAGAATTCTTGCTTAATAAAGCCTATTAGATTGAAGGTAGTCAGCTGTATTTTGGCATTAGATATCAGTATAAATAGACAACATAAAACAGGTGGTGCAACGTGTGTTTGCGGCAAAACCTATGCTGTCGTGCCTGTTTTGGTCAACTGCGACCTAAACCTTCGGAGTGACACCTTAATTAGAATGGCCTGCCATTGCATCGCTCGGACAGCGCTTCTAACAACCTGGCGTTCTGTTATGAGGTTGTTATAATCAACCGATTATACGTAGACTTGCAACAGGACACAGCTACCAATGACAGGCCAACAATTCACGGTTCTTATTATTAAACGTGCTTAAGCAAATTTCATATAAATGTTTATGTGTAAACAACAAAATATCTGTATGCCTAATGGTTAAGTGTTATTAAAAATATTTTATTCCTCATACTGAATAGATCTTAACGCGGCGAACAATCCAAAAATGACCAACTTTTTGTTTGTCGTAAAAAATGTCACAGGGTGCCAGGACGACAGTAATGATACGTTAAAATGATGAAGGGTTATTTGTTTGTGGTATAGCTTTCCGTAAACCAGAAATTAGACCTATTTTGAATTAGTTTCCAGGATGGTCTATGTTTGCGGGTAACAAAATGTCTGCTGCGGTAAACTGGACAGCTTTCATGTCGTATTGCTTGGGTTCAGTAGAACATGCCTGCTTCCACGACTCATCATCTAACGACAAGAGGACGACCTGGCACGCTTTTAAATAATGAAAACATGTACCATACTAGAATGTCGAAGATGTGAGAATGGATAAAGACATGGATAAAGCACGACCACTTACGTGGGCACACTGGCGCAGTAATTTGAATAGCAGCGTTAAAAAAAACTGTTGCTATATACCGATAATCAGGACCAAGACAAGATACAGAGGAAAACATGGTATTATTACTATTAGTGAAATCAATGGATGCTTGTATGGTTGTGCGTCGAACAAATTCTAATTAAGTCCACCAAGATCCACTCCGGTTAGACTCTTAATAACGGCAATAAAACGTAATGGAATCTATTTTCAGCAGAGTTCAAACGTTTGTTGTGCCTCTCGCTATCGTATAATCGAACGAAGCTTACTTGTTTAATCCGTGTACGTTACGTACGATGCTTCTTGTCTCCTTTCTATTATAGAAAATCTCGATTTACAGATTCTAACTTTTACCAATGGCGCTATTTTTCTTCGATTTATATATATTTGCTTTGTTTTGAAAGGATTGATACAGGAATACGTTAAATCCGGCCTGATGAATGACGTGTGCAAGAGGTGGACGTATCGGAAAGCATATTATCGTTACTCCAGCGTATAGAGATTTCATTTACTTACGAATCCTTTAGGATCTGAATTCCGTGCGCCGTACCTTGACGCCAAAAGAACAATTCGTAGTATTTCTATAGCGATTTCGCCGTTTAGGCACCAAATCGTCCCGCAGGTTTGTAATATATATTTTAATGGCGCTAAACTAATTACAACGTACAGGGTTCTTTAATGGAATTATTATAACCAAAAAAAATTGAACAGGACATTAAAAAAATATGGCATTTTGGTGTTATCTGTGCATCTAAAAAAAGGCCTTTGCAATTACCTTTAAATGCATAGTAGAATTTTAAATAAAAATGATTACCCTTTCACACGCTACCATGAAAAGCAGGCCATCGACCTTACTAACACTTTGAGCTACAATACAGTTTAGTTGATGATTTACAAATATAGGAAATAAAAGGAGCGAAAAACACAAGTTGTTAAATGCACCTCGAGCGAGAAATCTAAATGGGCATGTACTTCGACTCAAGAAAGCGAAGACGCCAGTGCTGCAAAGATCTATATTTTGAAATTGAGTCATTTTTCGTGCTGAGAACCATCCAGGACCGCAACAGGCTGGCTATTCGTCAAAACATTTGCTGATGAGGTGTTTTTAATAATTTCATTGCACACACAAAGCTTAGTAAATACATCCTTCAGTAGAACATTTCCGAGAGTATTCGATCGCGGTGTGGCCCGTATCATCGATATAAAAGGGGAAAAATCCGTTTATAGCATGTAATAGGGCCAATGCTAAACCAAACGATGCAAATTAGTTTCGTATTATAAATCGTTTCAGCGTCGTTCTATAACGAGACATACATTAGAAATAGACAGGACAAAAATAAGGAAAGGCACAATATAACATATAAAGAGACGGTGAACAGTTCAAGTTCTGATTAACTTTACATGTTAGCAAACCTACTATATCTAAAACAACGATACGCCTATCATAGATGAACGTACAGGTTTTCTTTATTGACTCAATCAACACGCAAATATTTGTACCTCATGCATTTTTTGATGTATCCGCCATTTTCTATTTCAAATATTCAGCGGTCCTGTCTATCTGAATGTATTATATATTTGTTATAATATTACATACACTTACTAGATATACAGGCGAAAACCCTTAATTAGATATGGTGTCGAAATAAACCACTTAGATTGTGTCTTTATCTTTGCGATCATAGGAATAACGCCAATACTACCGAAACATTCGGTGCGTCCTCAAACGCAGTGACACCCTCGAAGCAATGGAAAAAGTTTTTTTCTCCAGGGATTCTTCAGGGTATCAAATGATCTAGTTTGCAGAATATGAAGTTTGGTCGTTTTTGGATAGAAGAATAACGTAATCACTGCGAAAAAATTTCCTCTTCTATCGATCTATACGATCATTAGGAAAGAGATAAAAATAGTATAAGGGTATTGTTATATTAGTAATAAGGTTAGGGGACACTTTTGTGGGACTGTTAGCCAAATTGTCATGTGGGTCAAATTTAAGACATCCCATGCTTGATATACTTTAGCTTTCAACTGAATCCATGTTTGGTCTTTGCGGGACATGGCAGTGTCCCTGGAAAGAAAAGAACATTTAGCCGCTAGAGTGTTTAAGGTTTCCATCCAATACGAGTAACTATGCATTTTAACTTTTATTGCTTTTTTACGAAGTTGAAATTTTAATTTCTGCGCTCAGCGCAAATCAAGTACTTAGCGCAGGTTTGGATAGTTATGAGACTTTGGACTTCGTATCGAGCGCATGCTAGAAAAACTGCAGCTTTTTTGCTATTGAAAATTTGGGATGCCAGGTGGCTTGAAGACGATACAGCCTCTTCCAGTCACCATATTTTTTGTATAGTACTAATTATCCGCGTGTACTACCACATAGATTACTGACTTAACTGTTCCGAACATACCTATTATCAAACAAGTAACGATATTGTACACGATATGACATAAGCAATCTGGCATGTTTCCAAGCGCTGTCTAGCTTTGCTCCTAGCTGGCCTCGAGTCGTACCTCCACCTGTGAACGACATAGAAAATTTTTATGCGACGTATTTGACGTACTAAACACGTATTTAATATATTCAATAAGACAACAGTTGAAGAAGGCTTCTCGTATCAGATTATGTTTTATAAACAATTTGTTTATAATTCATTTAATTTAACTATCGGACCGTCAGTGGTTTAAAATGATACATTTTGTGTTTAATATAATAGTAAAACGATTTAAATTTGTACGAAGCAAAGAACATGCTTGATAATTTACCGGCTCTAGAATATAGGATACGTAAATGTGTTTATAAGTTCATTATGTCCTATGTTGAAATATTTTTGCTACGAACGTTTAAGGTAGAACCTTTGCCAACTGCCAATTTGAACCTCGTGGCGTTGTTGTTCGCATCTAGTAACTGTAAAATACGGCCTCGGTTTATCAAATATAGAATATTATAGGCTAGGTGAAAGCGTTTTGACCGTACTTCCATTTTGGGTAGCTCCCCCGGCTCATGCTGCTGGCTCGCGTACACTGGCAATGTATTTGAAGGACTCTTGCTGATGAGATAATGCCTTACGCGTGTATGATGACTCTTTTTTTGATTGCGTCTTCGGCCAAGTGTAGTTGTTGCAACTGAAGGGCTATTAGACGAGGGTTTCCGAAAGGCCGCCGCAGATAAAACTACGGTAGAGTTTCGGAGTTTTGTGGTACGTGGCCTTCTGAGGTGAAAAGCCCCGTAAATTGCCGGATTTATCATCGCCGTTGAACTGCCTAAAACCGGAAACCATAAAAACCGATTTCCATCTAAACTTTACGCTTTTGGATTAGCAAAATTATCTGTACACGGTATATTTGCACAAGTAGATCTGTTCATGGCGTAAGCTTTGATGTTCTGACTGAGCTTCTAGTAACCAGTCAAGTTCCGGAAAGTGTCTTTTCTTTCAGCTATTTATTGCAAATATTGCCAATGTATGTACTTACCACACTAGTGGAGGACTCAGACTAGGCATTTCTAACTATATTACTAAATTCACACTTTTCGCTGCCCTTCGCTTTAGGTCGGTACTTGTTTTAGTATAACTTCGACTCCATGGGGAACCTTTATTTTAACTCAACGCAAAGGTTCTCCATCTGAGTCTCATTTGCTTTCGTTCTTTTAAAGCTTCACAGCCTTCGTTACGTACTCGAATATTGCAGTCCTAAACAGGCCCTCTAGTCTTCTTTCAACTTCGGTTTTTTCTTTTCCAAGAGTCTGCAGTGTTCCAGTGTACGAGTCACATTGTTGCGCATGTCAACGTTGCATGTGATGTCCAAGTCAACGTCGCTTTCCCTCTTTTGTAAAGATACGCTTGGAAACATCTCTGGCTAGTGGGACCTGGGTCAGGCGACGGGAGAGGGGGGGGGGGGGTCACCTTTTAAGAATCCGGCTTGTGACGGTTTTTGGTTTGCAGTATCAGTTTCTTTTTCTAGGTGGTAGACCCTACTGCGACTTTCTACTTTCAAGCATCTTGTCGAGTTTCTACTGCCGTAAGTTTTAACAAACTAAAAGGTGGCAAATTGGTTTAGAGGCGAGAATACCAAATTGCAAAGTCGTAAAAGATATTCGTTTGTGAAACCCACTACTTATAGTACCTAACCTGTAACCTCTTTTATATATAACTTGTATGCGAATTAGGGAGCACAACTCAACATTCTGACTTACTACGCTTTGGAAAATTAACCTTCGGGGTACAAGATTGACTCTTTACGATTTCACAATCTTTTGTAGTTTGTGTCCTAAACAGCCTCACAAGGTAAAGTCTTGTGGGCAATAAGATGCTTGAAAAGAAACAAAGATCAAATTTTGCCAGACGCCACAATTTTATTGGCACTTTTCAGAGGTCTAGTTTGTCCAATTTAGGCTCCGGGACGAATAAATCGAAGCGTTGTGTCAATATAGATGTCTAAATTGTCCAGCTTTTGAAGGGTGCTTCGTCGGACATGTGACAACGGACACGAAGGCATTGGAGTTATGATGTAATCCTATATTAACTAAGCCTACTGGGCTAGCTGGCTGGCTGCCCAAAGAACTACAGATATTTCCGAAAGTCATCTATGTCTGTGTGCAGCGCTTTCTGTTAAGCGCTGCGCATAGACATCGGCTGTCAATCAGATATTGAACCAAACCAATGTAGCGTATAGGGGAAGTCTTTGTCTGGGAGCTGTTCATGGGCATAAACACTTATAAAACACCATGATTTTATGTTCATTCAGGCAAGCAGGCTATTCATTCGATTAGTGCGACCTAGAGTCAGAGCTCGATTTGCCTCTGTATCCAAGAGTATTACAAGACATTGAAGATGTTATCGAGTGCACATTACTATATCATACAACTCACTTATATCTCGACTTTTCCTCTTAGATCACCGTTTTATAAATGTATAGTGTACAACTCTACGCAAGTTTCGTTATTACGATACTTGTACAAGTAATAAGAGCTTTAAGAAGTAAGTATTTAAAAACTCTATTACTAAGTATAATAGCAGATCTTACAATTGATTATAATTGAATTTGATGTGAAAAAATTTTCACTCGCCGAAATTTCGACTGTCAGGGTCCTGATTACGTTGACAACTGCTGTTATCTATTAGTTTAGGAGTTTACATAAAAGATGGGGTTCGTTACCGGGGCAGAAGAACGCACATACGAAAACGATTGCGTCTTCATAATGATAAAATGGATTATTTTAACACTAACTTAATAGTTAACCTACAGCATAGCGCAGCAAGTTGCGATCAGTCTAATTTTCTGAAGATCCACAAAGCTTATGATCATTTTCACATAATTTAGGTATGACATCGGACGCATCGAAGATGCAACACCACATAATAGAAGCCCTAATAAATATATTTGCTGAAACCCAGATGGGCAGGCATTGTGTGTGCCGAGTTGCTCATTCGGTCTCGACAGTAATGTCCGCATTTTAATAGTGCAATAGTCAAAGTGTTGTGACTGACGTGATCGAACGTCTTAGAAAAATCGAAATAAGCCAATCAAATGCGTTTTCTAAACATGCGTTGATCTTGTACGATTTCGATCAGTTGTATTTTCCCTTTCTCTTAAAGTAATGTCGATTTTCATTCGAAGAGAAGTCTTCTCGAAGATAAAAATGTATACACACGACCTACTACAATAAAGACAATGTATTTTTTTTTGTTATTATTACCTACGCGTTGCTCTTGCTCCTTTTCTACGCTATTAAGGTCAACTAACCGAAGAAGAAAATGGCTGATTGTAGCTCTCCTGTGATCTTCTGACCGGGATCAAGATTAAAGATAAATATGACCATCATCGCATAGTATGGCGTCCAGCAGACAATGAATGCCACAACAATGACGACCGTTATCATCAGAGACTTTTTCTTCGCTCTAGCTAGCAGACGGCGCCGAGTTACCTCCATCGGGTGGCTGTTGGCAGTGGTGCCGCATCTCATAGGTCGTATACTTTCAAGCTTTGCCACTGCTGTCGAAAGTGAGGTCCGCTGTTGAGAGCCCGACCGACATAAATTACTATCAAATTCACCGCAATGAAGGGCTGGGAGGTCTGAAATATACAATCGATTTTTGTGAAAATGCTCTTCTGTTTGACCACTTGATTGATGCTCCGCTATTAGCGTATAAAAACCTTATAAATGTTATTACATGTCGACCAGTTGGTGCACGACGTGCGATAGGCTGGTCCCGCAATGATAGTCCCAACGGAAACCGTTGGTGTCTTTTTTACCGGCGTGTCATATCCATCCATGGCACGTTACTCACTGGCAATCGTGCGAAAAGTTGTTCCGTAGGTGATAACCAATGTAGCTAGCGGTAGAACGAACATAAGTAACAAAGATGTGGTCACATACACTTGTTCTTGCCACGGCTCGGTGTAGAAACCATGAGTCACGCATTGATAGAATGGCACGTTAAATGGCCCAATTTCCACTCGGAAAATAATTAACTGGAAAGAAAAAAACCGTCAGATAAACGATTGTTAGAAAGAACATTTTCAGTAGATAACAGTAAGTTACATTATATATTTCTTTGGTCGTCTCGTTTCTGCAACCGCTTGAAGTCGAAAACACGCTAAGTTGATACTAACTTCAACCCTCACTAGCAGCGTCAGCCCTTTGCCACGCGCGACTTTCTTACCCATATGCTAAATAGCGAATCTTTAATAGCGCTTCTTTTATACCGCGCCATATGTAAGATATCCATATTTTGGCCCGTAAAATACACACGGAAATGCACAAATTATTGTAGACCATCCTCATCATCCTTGAGCCACTATCAAACAACCCAGGCAGTTTAAACAAAGGCCCGAATGAGGATCCCTGTAGCCAGTGTTGTTACCATTGTTAACTCTGACTTGAGTAAGTATGTAACTCAGACAACGCAACGTACACGTATGTAAGTGTTAAAATAGCTCCTATTGTTAAGATAAAATTCTGAAACCTGCGGCATTCTCCACAAAATCAAAACTTCGGTGCTCAGGTAGAACGCAGAAGTTAGTGAAAGCTTCGGTAAACTCAAATGCGTTCATTGCGCAACCATGCCCTTCAGGGGCAAGGCGATAGGCAACAGACGTCTGACTAAAGCTATTAACAATTTCCAGTGTTAATTTCAGACCCTATGTCTAAGCATATCTGATGACAAAACAGATTCATCGTTTTTCGTAAATCTATCGATAAGTAGTTGTGTTTGTTTATCAATTTTGCTTTGATACTTTCCTGACGATCTACTGTCTGATTTCGAAGTACCCCTAGCATCTGCATGCTCAGACTGTACCCAATCACATTACTAATTCACACTTAGCAACTCTCGGTTTAGAACGGAACAGGGAGACACGCAAGCGATGTCACGATGAAGACATCACTAAAATTACGTGTCACAAAAATATTCACATAGTATACCGCGTGGAGATAGTTGAAACTCTTAGTAAACGTTTAGAGTGTTTACAAGGTAATGTATGTTAAGATATGATTGTCGGTATTATTTAGTTCTACTCACTGTAGGAATATCTATCATATAACTATAATGTCTGCCGCCAGTTGCCACGGTACTGGCGTGTATGAGAAGTTTTTCTGCAACACTAGATATATATACATCTCTCTCATAGACACAGCGTACTCATCACTATCATCGCTAGTCATAATACACTGCTGAAGGGAATCAATCAGCGAATTAGCAGACTATAAATATCGTTTACGTATGTAGATCTTAGAAATACCGAACACTCTTTGACGGCTACCTTGGTAACTGTTAGTTTCTCATGCGTGTCTTCATTTTGTTCTGATCGCCTCTCTGGCAAAGAAGTTTTTCCTTCATCAGACACTTCACGACTCGTCACAGTTGACTGAGCAGGTTTGTATATTTAATTAGATCGTTACAAAACGAATGATTCTCTTTTCTTTCCGAATAAAGTTATTCTCTGTCAAGATATTAAGACATACCAGACCATCTGACATAAAACATTGATTCCTTAATGCAAAGCACAGCTGAAACATCAGTTGGTGTCTCATAAACAGAGATCGTCCACATTTTATTGATTTGCCCATTGCGGATCAACACAATATGCAGTGCAGTGTAGTATAATAACTTCCAAAAGCTGTTTAAATACACTACTAACGATGACCCGCCATTATTTCAAATATGCTTATGTATTCACTATAGACACTCTATGGATGCGCGAACTTTGAATAACACGCTGAACGTTAGCGACGTGTGTGAACCAGTTACCGTAGTTTGGTTCATCTGAGTAAATGAACCCTGCGATGAGTACTACCAATTAAGAACAATCAAAGCAAAAGCATCCATTTGACGACAGAAAATAAAAATGATTTAGTCTGTATTTCTTTCAATGAATAGGATACGTTGCTTTTTTCGTTAGCAATAGGTGAATACGGACCTAGGCACGACTAACTACAGCTTCCTATAGATTTCTGTGTGCGAAATAGTGTTCTTGGCCCTTGGGCAATCATATAGCTCCGTACATAGAAGAGCTCTTGTATGAACACCTATGCGGCCGTCGATTCGTTCTTTTAAACGCCCCTAACCTAAGATTGAACTGCGTCAAGAGAGAATCTGATTATCACTACTTCGTTTGTTGTTACATCATATAGTTCTGCTAGTAGTAATCTAATGGATCTATAATAACATTAATTCAATTGTGTCAAGTAGATTTGAACACTCATTTGAAAGTATGGGAGCATTTTTTAATGGACATCATCGGCCTTGGGCCTATCCGAGTTCCACTGACGCTATCATTTCACCTGAAATTTAACTTAAAAGGAGGTAACCAGATAAATGTTGGTAAAATCTGAAAAAGAAACCATATCCATTAGAGCTTTTGGGACGCTAGTCTACAAGGGAAAGAAATTATTTTTTATAACCTGCCGTTGTGTAAATTATCTTTCAGTATAATTTGGTCACGTATCACCATGCCAACAATACTATTGGAAATCGTGGTACACCGCTGGTGGTAGATCCAACTTTCAATACCCTTTATGTAAAAGTGGGTATTGTGCGAAGTAGTGGGATGTCAACTGGCATTCGTTTCCTGCGGCCTTATATCCTGATGTTCTTGGACATATTGGCTTCAAATGCCGAACTATGAGACGGCACTCGATCTTATTGCACCGTGGCTTTCAACTCACCATTATTAATGATGGGTCCTGCCAGATAAATGACCCGAAGTGCGAGACATTTCGTTGCTCCAAGCCGCTCATCGGAACTATTTCTTCGAAGTAATTCTATCGAAATAGCTAACACTTCTGGAGTCCAAATGGCCAGTCTTCGAGTAATATGCGCGCCTCCATGCGGCCCTCCCTTCAGTATGCTTCATTTAAATTGCCCTTTATACGCTCCTCCTCGAAATCACTTTGGAGTGGCTTGTCGTAGAGTATTATTATATATCTAGGCCTGTTTGAGGCCGGTTAGGGTCCCGCAATACTTGAATGGATCGTTAGCGATATTCGCTGAATATCTAATTTCGCTGGATGAAAGTTTTATGGCGTACACATGATGAGATCTTAATAAATGTAATTTACCACTACGTTTCTAGTATAGATTTGAAAAAAAACACATTTTATAGTGATTTAATTAGCTAAAAAAGAAAAAAACGTACAGCGCATCCGTTAAACCACAGCTTCAAGAGTAGTTTGTGCAGCATAAAGTTACTTGTAGGCCTCTAAACGCCTTAGTTGTATTATTCAGAGTGGAACTTCAACATTACAATACAGATTGCCCCCGTCACGATAAAGCAACAGAGAGCAAAGTGGTTCAGGTTGAAAATTGGGAGTGAATACGCTTCGCTTCATGCCGAAAATCAGCCGCCTCACGCGGTGCTTAGCGCCAAAAAAAAGCAAATATTTACTATTATTATCATTAGACCGCACTCTTTAAGACAATAAAGCTTAAATAATAATTATAAATAAAAGTTAAAAAAATAATGGTCGTCTTGACGAAGACGTGTGCATCAGAGTGGTAAGGATCGATATAGAAGGCGGCGAGTAAGAATCACTTTAGCTACAGGTGACATTAGTTTGAATATACTTTTCGATAGTCTAATCGCTGAGATCGAAATCATAAATTTTAATAAACCTGGGAAGATCAGGATTTGAGCCATACGTTTTTAAGAAGGATAAAGGACTCAGTTAGTCAGGGCAAGCTAGTAGATGTTAAAATCAAAACAAGGACCAAAGAAGAATCACACCCTAGCTATCGACGATTAAGGTAATTCTACTTAAAAGTGCTAGCGGCGATGAAATGAAATATAATTTCGTGATCATCAACTAGGAATAGAGTGTTGTTGTCTCACAATCGTAAAATCGAACGAGCTGTTAAGGGAAGAAAGGCAAGCAATGTAGAGACATATCGACCATAGATGGAACGAACTTCGTGGTAGGCGCGAAATTCTAGGCTGGTACTTGAAGGACACAAATCTGACAAAGAGCCAAGGAATTACCTCAGCAGAGCAAGCATTATGAGTAATGTGCGATTTAGAGGAACTGGTAGTACCTAAGCATTATTCCATCTATATAAAGCTTGCTCACTTGGCGGAAAGCTGCAGGGAGTACGAAAACGAAGGGTCCACATATTATAAATGTCCAAATGAGAAGCACTACTGCAGTGCCTGTGCGAAAAATGAGCATTGCTTACACGGCAACATGTACAAACGCCAGACCAATACTCCAAGGTGCACATCTACAGAAAAAAGCTGCAGCACATTTCAAGAAGGTTAGGTAACAAGAGAGCAGATGAACTTTCTGACTCAATTTTCAACAACCATTGAAACCAGTATCAGTATAACGTCCAGACTTAACAAAAGTTCTGTTCGAGGTGAGAGTTCTTGGTTGTCTGATTAACATGTTTACCTTAGTGTGATAATACACGGACAGTGGGGCAGACAGGAGATAGGATGGGTTACAACTAAGGATTTGCGGATTTCCACTATGTATCTCGAAAACTATAAGAACTGGTCAGAAGTTATTGGCTATAGAAATCCGAAGAAGAGATCGAAATTTAAACGCTCATGCCATTTCCTGCAGAAATACTTGGAATAGTCGAAATGGAAAAACCGTTAACGATTGGGTGGAGACAGATAACCCGTTTGTTCTAAATGACGGCTCAGAAACGATCAAACGGGGGTGCATCTTAAGCTATTGATCTGACGTTTGCGTCTCCAAGCATGGTTGACTGTGTGGGGGACCGGAGGTGGATAACGGGAACATGTCATTTTTTAATAAAATTCCCAGATCAAGTCAGGCGCATGCCCAAGCCAATACAAAAATTAGCAGAAAGGCAAAACTTATAGAAATCACAGAGCCAATATATAAAGTGCGTCCAATTGGGCAGGGCATTGACTAGGAGAAAGCTGAAGTTATTGCAGCACCTAGCTTGGTCAGGTCATACTTAAAAAGGAAGTTAAACCCAGTAATGATATCTAGTAAGTGTAACCGC